CAAATACCATATGTTTGCACGTATAGGAGGATTAGGAGGAACTTGACGGAGGACCAAGGGGGAGAAGAAGGGCGGAAATGGTGGGGGAAAGGGAGAGAGGCAAACCATGAGAGACTCTTGAATGCTGACAAAAACTGAGGACTGATGGATGTGGGGGGGAGGGGGGGATGGGCATGAAGGAGGTCACTTTGGGGATGAGCACTGAGTATTATGTAGAAACTAATTTGACAATAAACTATTTGTAAAAAAAAAAAAAAAAAGATAATACTTAATTGATTTGCAAAAGCCACCCAAAATATAATGGTACAGAAAGGAAAAATGATTCAAGATATAAAGAGTTAATAAGATTTACTACTAAAAAATAACAGCATCAAAATGTTGAAAGTAAAAGGACAGAAAAGACATGTCAGGCAAATACTGAACAAAGAAACCTGATGTAGCTATATTATTGCCAGAAAAAAGTAGTCTGTAAGGCAAAAGGCATCATTAAGAATAATGAGGGTCAGTACAGAATGATGAAAGGTATAATTCTCCCAGAAAGTATCACAATTATATGCTTTTATGCTTCCTAATAACACAACTACAAAACCTACAAAGCAAAAACCGACGAATTACAAAGAGAAATTGACAAATCTACCATTATAGTGAGAGCTCTTAACATTCCTTTCTCAGTAATTGATATATCAAGCAGGTAAAAATCAGCAAAGATATAGAAGACTTGAATAATAAAATTAACATCTTGATCTGATGGACATAGGATTCTGCACCAACAATTAGAGAAATCAAATTCCTCTCAAGCATTTTGTAAATGAAACATTTATAAAAATTGACATTATACTAGTCCATAAAATAAATTTCAAAAAATGTATAAGCTGATTTTAAAGTATATTAAGAAGAGCAAAAGTGCTAGGAATAGCCAAGATAATTTTGAAGCCAGAAAGATGGGAAACTTGGCCTACCAGACACCGTTACATATTAGAAATCTATAGTAAGACAGTGTGGGGGCGCCTGGGTGGCTCAGTAGGTTAAATATCTGACTTCAGCTCAGGTCATGATCTTGCTGATTTCGCCATTGTGAGTTTGAGCCCCGAGCTGGGCTCTGTGGCTGGGAGCCTGGAGCTGCTTTGGATTCTGTGTCTCCCTCTCTGCCTATCTCCTGCTTGTGCTCTGTCTCTCCAAAAATAAGTAAATATTTTTTAAAAAATTAAAAACGACAGTGTGATATAGGCACGGAAACAAATATGTTTGCTAGATAAAATACAGAAAGTCCAGTTAAATTGAAATTTCAGATAAACAATGGATATGTATTTTATATGCTAAAACTGGCAACCCTATAAATAAGCCATTTGAGACTCAGAAAGAGCTTAGAGGCAGAACCATACACATACGGGACCTCAGCCTGTTACAAAGTTAGCAGATCAGGTCAGTGGGAAGAGATGTTATTCAATACATGGTGTTGGGACAATTGTTTATTTATATGTAAAAAATACAATAAAATTGCTTCTGTATCTCACACCAATTAAAAATTCAGTCCCAGGTGGATTAAAGATTAAATGTAAAAAAAAAATCTTGAAACACATAGCTTGACATTGTAGTAGGAAGACTTTCTAAAACAAGACACAAGAAGTACAAACCACAAAGCAAATGACTGATAATTAAATTACAAAGAAATATAAAACTTTTTTGTATGAAAACATGCATTTTATACTTTTTCAAAACATGATTTTTTTAAGTTCATTTATTTATTTTGAGAGAGAGAGAGCACCAGCCAGAGAGGGGCAAGGAGAGAGAGAATCCCAAGCAGGCTCCACACTGCCAGCACAGAGCCCGATGTGGTGCTTGGACCCATGAACTGTGAACTTTGCCAAAATCAAGAGTCAGACGCTTAACTGACTGAGCCACCCAGGCACCCCTCAAAACATGCATTTCCTTTACTTATTTATTTTTATTTCTGAGAGAGAGAGAGAGAGACAGTGTGAGCAGGGGAGAGTCAGAGAAAGAGGGAGATACAGAATCTGAAGCAGGCTCCAGGCTCTGAGCTAGCTGTCAGCACAGAGCCCGATGCGGGGCTCAAACCCATGAACCATGAGATCATGACCTGAGCCGAAGTTAGATGCTTAACCGACTGAGCCACCCAGGCGCTCCCAAAACATGCATTTTAAAACATGTGAAAAGGCATACCTCATACTAGAAAAATACATTTGCAACAAATATAATGAACAAAGGATTAGTATCCAAAATTCATGAAGAATGTGTAATGTATTATATGAATCAATAAGAAAAAGACACCACACAGTCTATGAAAGGTTCTAGAAGATGCAAAAGTCTTGACAATTTTCAGTTTTGGGTAGCCTCTGCTCTTCATCCTGTAGATCTGGTCAGGGATGGGCTTTTTGTAGAAGCCCCTTAGACTGAAGAGGGATGGAATGTGAAACAGTGTGAAGTTTCTTTTACTGAGTGGCTGCTACGAGTGATAAACATGCCTTCATATGGGTCAGAGGCAATATGATGCCCCAGTTTTCTCTTGTAGGAAAGAAATAGTTTTTCAGAGTCCTTGTAAAAACAGAATCAGCCAAATGCTTTTATCTGCAGACCCACAGAAGCAGGTACATAGCATTACATAGCAAAGTCTTGGTAGATAATGGATACTTTCATATTTTAGTTTATATCTCATTTATTTTTTGATTGTTAAAGGCAAATATGGTGAACAGTATTATTTTATAATCCACACAATATAAACATTAAAAATATCCTTATTCTGAATTTTGAAACTCTCCCATTGTCTTTCTCCTGGAATATTCTGCTCCCTACTCCTTTCTGAAAGTACATTTTGTGACATGTCTCACTTTAACACATTTTTAAGAGAAGAAAAACATGGTATTCCACATCAATGCACATTGGGAATTTTAAATTTTATTTACAAACAAATAATAACAACCTTATATGTCATTTGTGTAGGGTATTATTTAGCAGTCCAGAGTGATCAGGAAATACAGAGACAGGAAACAATAATCTGTAATTTTACTTTACACGTGTATATTGATGAGATTTAACAGGATAATATTTTTATTATTAAAATAATGGTATTAAATGAAATGAAAATGAAAATTCTATTGAAGTTTAAACTTTTGAACGGCCTTGCTTGCATCTTCCCTCAGCTTTACATTTTTCTTTTCTTTTTTTTTTAAAGGCAGAATTAAATTTTATTTCACATTGGTAGAAACCATGAAAAAGATTTACATTTTCCCACATAACAGCACATTTCAACAGAATATTTTTTGCCATAAATTAGATCTTGTTGATTTATATAACTGAAACAATTTATATTCTTCAAGGTAAAGTAAAATAACTTAGTAAATGATTGTTTAAAAATTTTAAATCCAGACATAAACATATGGCTTCATTATTAACATTCTGTACAATCCATTACTAAATTATTTCCATTATCAATTAGCACCCATTTATTTTTTTATTATTATTTTTATTTATTTCTAGGAGAGAGAGAAAGAGCGTGAGCAGGGGAGGGTCAGAGAGAGAGGGAGACACAGACTGAGAGAGGCTCCAGGCTCTGAGCTGGCAGTCAGCACAGAGCCCGACGCGGGGCTCGAACCCACGAACCGCGAGATCATGACCTAAGCGAAAGTCGGACGCTTAACCGACTAAGCCACCCAGGCGCCCCGAGCACCCCTTTATAAAGATGCATTCCTAACATTGTTTTAGTCAGTTGGAATACAGCAGAAAAATTAACAACAGTTCGGAAATATCAAGTGTACATTTTGCTACATATTAAACTTGGTGACTACACCGTATGTATTGAGTTGTGATTGTTATTACCCATACATTTGTTTTCAGATAATTTTTAACAATAATCTGAAAAATTCAAATGCGTAAAATCAAACTAATAAAAAAATCCATCTGACTAAAGTGAAGTTTTCAATTAAGTCCATTGGCAGATAAAAATAAAGCGAATTTTTCTAATGGATTGTTCATTTCCTACAGTAGTTGGTTTCAAACATATGTACAAAACAAGTAAACTAAACTATGCTATGAGTAGGATCATCTTAGAGCAAATCATCTTAGAAATTACAGTTTTTAAGATCTGTCTTAAATATTCCAGAACATACTAGAATACGATGTAATTACTCTTTCAGTTAATTACAGAAAAATACAACCACAGAATTATGCCAGTTATCTAGACTGAAGATTCTAATAATCATATAGGTCTAAGTTTGGACTCAGTAAGGTATAGTTTAGGAAGTAATGGTAAGAAGTTTAAAGTGATGTCAGGTTTCTTTACGGAAGTGTAAATACATTTTAAATAGTATCAAATCTGTGATCCAGAATGTCAAATTACAGCACATATAGGCAGGAGATGTCTATGGCAAGGAGCCAATATTTGGTCTCTTATGAAGGATAAAAAAGAAACACAGTTCTAGAAAGGAAAAAAAAAACACATTAAATAGAAATGATATCAGGGAAAGTAAAGCCTGGTACCCAAAATTAAAGGGCCATTAACTGAAGAGAGCAATATTACTCTAGAATTTAGAAGCATTATCCCTATTATTGGGAATAACGCAGTAATACCTCATTCTCATTATGTATTACAGTCCTTAAGTATATAATGAATACATATATAAAAATACAGATAGTACACGGTGACTAAGTAATTTTGAAATAAATCTGTAGATGAAGTCACAGGATGCATAAATAATTTATATCCCAACTGCTCATTTATACCTGAACAAATTTTCATTAAGCATACTAATAATTTTCAAATGATGTAATAAAAAATCTGGTTACAATATTTTATTATTTTGCTGAATTACATTTGGGAAAAAGTTAGCTGCTTCACCTATTTTACTACTAGTATATTCTGAATCATATAAACACATGTATAGAAACTTAAAAGACCATTATTTCCCAGAAGGAGATATTATTATTATGTAGTCTGTGTTATGGGTGTATATCTGAAAAACACTGCAAACGTTCGAAGTTTCAGGATTGGGCACGGGAAGAGGTTTATACACTACAGTGATGCTGGTGGTACTTCCACACAAGGCCTCTTAATGACGTCAATGAACCGGAGGCAGAAGTTTATCCATGAATTGCTTGATGTCCAGCATCTCCTGCTGACACGAACTGTGCATCATGCCTTCATAGGTTTTGAAGATTATATTCGCTGGATTTACTAATGTTTTTAGCTTTTCAGAAGTAAGAGAAGCAATCATTAGGGGAACTAAAGGGTCGCAGTCTCCATGGCACTGAAGAATAGGAATGTCTCTGTTAAGGCCACTGATAGGACCCTGTGGAAACGAAGCCCGTAGAGGGAACCAGCAACTGAGGGCCGTGACTCCCGCCAGCTTCTGCTGCGTGGTAAGAGCGGTGTACAGAGATAACGCTCCTCCCTGAGAAAATCCTCCCAAAATAATTCTGTTAGAAGGAATGCCATTCTTCATCTCTTGCTCTATCAAAGCTTTGACATTACCTGCTGCCTGTTTAATTCCAGGTTCATCCTCCTGTGATTCTAGTGACAGCCGAGTAATATCAAACCAGGAAGGCATAGCCATGTTCATATTCAATGTTACAGGCATAACTGGCATGCGGGCAGATATACTTGATATGTGAACTTCTGATACCAGCAAAAGCTTCCGCCCATCCATGCCCTGTATCTCCCAATCCGTGAAGGAAAATCACAGCAGCGGTGGCTTTCCGGGCGGCGGGCATGATGGCGGGAAGCGGGGCGGACATGTTATTGCCGCACATACACCGGCTCAACTGGCGGAGCGCGTTGGAAGAAAAAGGGACAGTGGGCGCCTGGCCCCGGCCCAAGGGCGTGCAAGCAGCGAGTCCTCAGCTTTACTTTTTTCAACTAGAATTTTAAAGCCCAACCCAAACCACTTATTTTCTACCTTTTAGTAACCTTTCTATGTCTTTTATAGGCAAGCCCTTACCAGGTTTTGCTTGACTTACTTCCTACATTCTGGCACTTTCCACTTGTTTCTGTATGTACATGTTCTGCATTAACAAAACTCCATATATGGTAATGTGGATTCTCTTAAGTAGAAGAATGAATGAGTAAATCCAATTACTTAGCAATGTGACTGCAGGCATCTTTCAAAGATAAAACTCTCCACCTTCCACCATCTCACCCCACCCCAAGCAATCCTGGCCTCTAGGTGAATCTTTTTATTTTCTGTTTATTTATGACTGTCAGCATGGAGCCCAACGTGGGGGTCGAACCCACAAACCATGAAATCATGATCTGAGCCAAAATGAAGAGTCAGATGCTCCAGAAATTAAGCCACCCAGGCGCCACTAATAAAATCTTTTAAAATTGTTCTGTAAGTAATGGATTGGAGGGAGGCTGACATAAGGCTGAGTGTCAGGAAAGTGAGAATTTTAAATAAAACATGAATGGGTTAATGTGATCCTGATGACAGAATCCACCTTTTTAATACCTGCACCTGAGGAAAATATGGCACACAGATGTGCAGTAACTTGCCCAAGGTTATAAAACCACTATGGAGAAGGGAAAGCACTACCACCTAGCTATCAGAAAGGAATACAAATATTTCTACACATAATAAGACAAGAGGAGAAAATAATACCTGATTTGTGTTTATTTAATTTTAATGTTTATTTGTTTTTGAGAGAGAGCAACAGAGCATGAATGAAGGAAGGGGAGAGAGACACACACACAGAAATCTGAAACAGGCTCCAGGCTCTGAGCTGTCAGCACAGCACCTGAGGCGGGGCTCGAACTCACCAAGGAGCTGTGAGGTCATGACCTGGGCCGAAGCCTGACGCTTAACCGACTGAGCCACCGAGGCGCCCCAACAATACCTGATTTGTACCAGTCTTATTTACCACTAAGGTTTTGTGTTATGCGAAGAACATAGAGTTTGACAGATATCAGAAAAAGATAGCTTCCAATCACAATTTTTCCACAGAATGGATGCAGAACCCTACACAGGCAGTTGCATTTTACTCATAAAATACACACTTGTTTCACTTTATAACAATTCAGTCACTGGTGTCTTAGCATTACTACAGCAAGTATTTTATTTTTCTTGGTAATATCTAAAATAACATGTGTCTTAAAAGTGATGGCCTCTTAGATTCAATGAAATCCAGTTCTTCGCCTGTTGGAGCCTCAGTTTCCTCACCTAGAAAATTGAGCTGAAAACTCACACCGTCATGAGGATTAAGGGAGGTAAAACCATAAAATAACAATCCCAGCTCCAGGCACAGAGCAGATGCTCAGAGTTCTCCGGGTTCCCCGTGTTTTAGGGAGGTGAGAGGTTGGGTCATGGACCATGGAACCCATCATCTGACCCTTCTACTTTCTCCCAGTTAATCAGCCCCTTTATTTTTATTTTTTTTTTTTACAAATAGTTTATTGTCAAATTAGTTTCTACATAACACTCAGTGCTCATCCCCAAAGTGCCCTCCTTCATGCC